TCACTATCATGCCTCTTGCGCTCCTGAGCTTCCCTGTCTGGTGCTTTTTTTTTTTTTTTTTTTTGAGACGGAGTAAGGCTGAGTCATGTTATCCGGCTCTACGGCAAGGCGCTGGGGATATCCAAGGCGAGAGTTATTCATTATATAAGATAGCACTCGCTGCTTGTCTAGCTGGGACTACAAGGTGCACGCCCTCCAGTTGAAAGCATAAAATATAGCTCAGACTACATCTCATGCTAGATTAGTTGTTATTTGAGTAAGCTTATATTAAGATATCCTTTTTTATTCTAGGACGATGATTGTGGAGTCGGCTCTGTGCCCAGTCGGCAGGCGCGCAGAGATGTTTCTTTGGGCACTACAGGCGAGCATGTCTGCCTGCCGGTTTCACGCAAGCGTATCATGACGAAAACTGGCTCATCAGAACCCATCACCCTGATGTAGCTGGTAGACTATCATGCGGGACTCGGCTAGAGATGGAGTTTCACCGTGTTAGCCAGGATGGTCTCGATCTCCTGACCTCGTGATCCACCTGCCTCAGTCTCCCAAAGTGTTGGGATTACAGACGTGAGCCACCGCACCCGGCCATTTTTTTTATTTTTAGTAGAGATGGTGTTTCACCATATGGCCAGGCTGATCTCGAACTCCTGACCTCAGGTGGTCTGCCCACCTCGGCCTCCAAAAGTGCCGGGATTACAGGCGTAAGCCACTTTGCCTGGTCACCCTGTCTGTGTTTATTTGCCTTTTAGTATTGCCTTGTCCCTTTTTGTTCGTAGCTGGACATGATGTACTGAGTAAAAAGATTTACTTTTAATAGTACTTTACTAATATGGTGGTGAGATACCAGGAAAAGGTGAGCATTCTGTAGGCCCCTGATTAGGTCTGTCTCTTTGTGAGCCTGTTCCCCTGGACTCCGAACCTCACAAGTATTTCCCAGGCCACCCCCACCCCATCCCTTAGATGGGACAGGATGGAATTTGGTATGTTCTTTCCTCAGGTTAGTTAGGCTCTGCCAAAACCTTAGTAGATTAGGCTCTGGGAACCTGGTTGAGCTCCTGAAAGTAAAACTCAGAAAAGCTTGGGACCTCGTCTCCCTCCACTCCTACCATAAGTGGGTCCCCCTGGACTTTTTTTTTTTTTTGAGACAGAGTCTCACTCTGTCACCCAGGCTGGAGTGCGGTGGCGCGATCTCGGCTCACTGCAAGCTCCGCCTCCCGGGTTCACGCCATTCTCCTGCCTCAGCCTCCCGAGTAGCTGGGACTGCAGGCGCCTGCCACCATGCCTGGATAATTTTTTTGTATTCTTTTAGTAGAGACGGGGTTTCCACCCACCTCGGCCTCCCAAAGTGCTGGGATTACAGGCGTGAGCCACCGCTCCCGGCCCCCT